GCGCCCCCGCGGGAGTGCGTGAGTGTGGTAGAGGCGCCCCCGCGGGAATGCGTGAGTGCGGTAGAGGCGCCCCCGCGGGAGTGCGTGAGGTGGGTGGAGCCGCGCACCGTCAAGCACATGCAGATGGTGTGATATTAGTGGAGGCGGACACCGCTCTCGACACGCGCCGCCGCCGCCACCGCCGGTTCGAGCCTCGTCAACCCGTAGTGGCTGACGTCCCGCGGTCGCGCCCTCCGCTGGTGCTTGCATGCGCGCGCGCGAGAGACCCCTCTCGCGGTCATGGGCCTATGCATTGTTCTTAGTTACAAAGTTGCGGTACATCAATAATTATGGTTGTCGTTTAATTGTAGAATTTATAACGGTTATTATCTCGATGTGTCAAACTGTCCTGTCTGTGGGGCTGTTGGGTCTTGTCTGTGGGGCTGTTGGGTCTTGTCTGTGGGGCTGTTGGATCTTGTCTGTGGGGCTGTTGGATCTTGTTTGTGGGGCTGTTGGGTCTTGTCTGTGGGGCTGTTGGATCTTGTCTGTGGGGCTGTTGGGTCTTGTCTGTGGGGCTGTTGGATCTTGTCTGTGGGGCTGTTGGGTCTTGTCTGTGGGGCTGTTGGGTCTTGTCTGTGGGGCTGTTGGGTCTTGTCTGTGGGGCTGTTGGATCTTGTCTGTGGGGCTCTTGGCTCTTGTCTGTGGGGCTGTTGGCTCTTGTCTGTGAGGCTGTTGGGTCTTGTCTGTGGGGCTGTTGGATCTTGTCTGTGGGGCTGTTGGATCTTGTCTGTGGGGCTGTTGGATCTTGTCTGTGGGGCTGTTGGATCTTGTCTGTGGGGCTGTTGGGTCTTGTTTGTGGGGCTGTTGGATCTTGTCTGTGGGGCTGTTGGGTCTTGTTTGTGGGGCTGTTGGGTCTTGTCTGTGGGGCTGTTGGGTCTTGTCTGTGGGGCTGTTGGGTCTTGTCTGTGGGGCTGTTGGATCTTGTCTGTGGGGCTGTTGGGTCTTGTCTGTGGGGCTGTTGGGTCTTGTCTGTGGGGCTGTTGGGTCTTGTCTGTGGGGCTGTTGGGTCTTGTCTGTGGGGCTGTTGGCTCTTGTCTGTGGGGCTGTTGGGTCTTGTCTGTGGGGCTGTTGGGTCTTGTCTGTGGGGCTGTTGGCTCTTGTCTGTGGGGCTGTTGGGTCTTGTTTGTGGGGCTGTTGGGTCTTGTCTGTGGGGCTGTTGGGTCTTGTCTGTGGGGCTGTTGGGTCTTGTCTGTGGGGCTGTTGGGTCTTGTCTGTGGGGCTGTTGGATCTTGTCTGTGGGGCTGTTGGATCTTGTCTGTGGGGCTGTTGGGTCTTGTCTGTGGGGCTGTTGGGTCTTGTCTGTGGGGCTGTTGGGTCTTGTCTGTGGGGCTGTTGAGTCTTGTCTGTGGGGCTGTTGGGTCTTGTCTGTGGGGCTGTTGGGTCTTGTCTGTGGGGCTGTTGGATCTTGTCTGTGGGGCTGTTGGGTCTTGTCTGTGGGGCTGTTGGGTCTTGTCTGTGGGGCTGTTGGGTCTTGTCTGTGGGGCTGTTGGATCTTGTCTGTGGGGCTGTTGGCTCTTGTCTGTGGGGCTGTTGGGTCTTGTCTGTGGGGCTGTTGGGTCTTGTCTGTGGGGCTGTTGGATCTTGTCTGTGGGGCTGTTGGATCTTGTCTGTGGGGCTGTTGGGTCTTGTCTGTGGGGCTGTTGGGTCTTGTCTGTGGGGCTGTTGGGTCTTGTCTGTGGGGCTGTTGGATCTTGTATGTGGGGCTGTTGGATCTTGTCTGTGGGGTTGTTGGATCTTGTCTGTGGGGCTGTTGGGTCTTGTTTGTAGGGCTGTTGGATCTTGTTTGTGGGGCTGTTGGATCTTGTCTGTGGGGCTGTTGGGTCTTGTTTGTAGGGCTGTTGGATCTTGTCTGTGGGGCTGTTGGATCTTGTCTGTGGGGCTGTTGGGTCTTGTTTGTAGGGCTGTTGGATCTCTTTTGTGGGGCTGTTGGGTCTTGTCTGTGGGGCTGTAGGCTCTTGTCTGTGGGGCTGTTGGGTCTTGTCTGTGGGGCTGTTGGATCTTGTCTGTGGGGCTGTTGGGTCTTGTCTGTGGGGCTGTTGGATCTTGTCTGTGGGGCTGTTGGGTCATGTCTGTGGGGCTGTTGGGTCTTGTCTGTGGGGCTGTTGGATCTTGTCTGTGGGGCTGTTGGGTCTTGTCTGTGGGGCTGTAGGCTCTTGTCTGTGGGGCTGTTGGGTCTTGTCTGTGGGGCTGTTGGATCTTGTCTGTGGGGCTGTTGGGTCTTGTCTGTGGGGCTGTTGGATCTTGTCTGTGGGGCTGTTGGGTCTTGTCTGTGGGGCTGTTGGATCTTGTCTGTGGGGCTGTTGGATCTTGTCTGTGGGGCTGTTGGATCTTGTCTGTGGGGCTGTTGGATCTTGTCTGTGGGGCTGTTGGGTCTTGTCTGTGGGATGTGTAGCATAGTGTAGTGTAGCATTTGATTAACGGAGTGGTACGTTATCAGAGGGGGGGGCGGGGGCCCCCAGGGGTGGCGACGGGGGCCCCCAGGGGTGGCGACGGGGGCCCCCAGGGGTGGCGACGGGGGCCCCCAGGGGTGGCGACGGGGGCCCCCAGGGGTGGCGACGGGGGCCCCCAGGGGTGGCGACGGGGGCCCCAGGGGTGGCGACGGGGGCCCCCAGGGGTGGCGGCGGGGGCCCCCAGGGGTGGCTACGGGGCCCCCCAGGGGTGGCGACGGGGGCCCCCAGGGGTGGCGACGGGGGCCCCCAGGGGACAAGAGCACCACCTAAAACGGGCCCGGAATCCAGCTCCAGAGGCCCCCCCCCACCCCACCCCCCCCCCCGACCCCCCCACCCCACCCCAACTCGACAGCACTTAATGAGCCTTGCTCACTCACTTCAGGGGAGCCAAGCTCACTATTCTCACTCATCCACGCTATTGATTCATGGCGGATGTCGAGGCTGCGTCAGCGGAGAGGTCCGCCGTCAGCGTCGCCGTCATTAGCGCTCGTCTCCGGCGTCCGCGACATGTCGCTAAGATTGATGTGTTCGCTTTTATCAGGTTTGCAGTTTTTACCTCAACTGGCGAGCGTGAGGAGATCTGTGTTCCTTAAGGCGGTGGGGCACCGGCCTTCCGTTTGGCTAGCGTCGCAGACGAGACGTACGACGTAGGACGTAGTCGTAGGACGAGGCGAGACGAGACGCTCCCGTCTCGTAGCTAAGAGACGGGAGCGCCCATCTTGGACTGTCTACCAGAGACGGGAGCGCCCATCTTGGACTGTCTACCAGAGACGGGAGCGCCCATCTTGGACTGTCTACCAGAGACGGGAGCGCCCATCTTGGACTGTCTACCAGAGACGGGAGCGCCCATCTTGGACTGTCTATCAGAGACGGGAGCGCCCATCTTGGACTGTCTACCAGAGACGGGAGCGCCCATCTTGGACTGTCTACCAGAGACGGGAGCGCCCATCTTGGACTGTCTACCAGAGACGGGAGCGCCCATCTTGGACTGTCTACCAGAGACGGGAGCGCCCATCTTGGGCTGTCTATCAGAGACGGGAGCGCCCATCTTGGACTGTCTACCAGAGACGGGAGCGCCCATCTTGGACTGTCTACCAGAGACGGGAGCGCCCATCTTGGACTGTCTACCAGAGACGGGAGCGCCCATCTTGGACTGTCTACCAGAGACGGGAGCGCCCATCTTGGATTGTCTACCAGAGACGGGAGCGCCCATCTTGGGCTGTCTACCAGAGACGGGAGCGCCCATCTTGGACTGTCTACCAGAGACGGGAGCGCCCATCTTGGACTGTCTACCAGAGACGGGAGCGCCCATCTTGGACTGTCTACCAGAGACGGGAGCGCCCATCTTGGACTGTCTACCAGAGACGGGAGCGCCCATCTTGGACTACCTACCAGAGACGGGAGCGCCCATCTTGGACTGTCTACCAGAGACGGGAGCGCCCATCTTGGACTGTCTACCAGAGACGGGAGCGCCCATCTTGGACTGTCTACCAGAGACGGGAGCGCCCATCTTGGACTGTCTACCAGAGACGGGAGCGCCCATCTTGGACTGTCTACGAGGCTAATGATAACGGTTGTATGGGTTTTATCAAGGCGGCGACGCCACAACAACCTAGGCGCTCATTTGGGGCCCAAAAGGTTTAGTTATATCATTCCAGAGCGGTTCTGTGGCCGCTGCCTTGACAAGGGGGGGGACCCCTGACAGCTGAGTGGACAGCGCTTCGAATTCGTAGTCCTGAGGTTCAGGGTTCGATCCCCCGTGGAGGTGGAAACAAATGGGCAGAGTTTCTTTCACCCCTGATGGCCCTGTTCACCTAGCAGTGAACATTGCATTGCACATTGTTGGTACATCTTATGACCAACCCCCACAATGGTTAACCAGAGTGGAGAAAATCTCATAAGTAATGTACTTAAGTCCAGTAACGGACGTGGCTCACATAAGTCCAGTAATGTACGTGGCTCACATAAGTCCAGTAATGTACGTGGCTCACATAAGTCCAGTAATATACGGGGCTCACATAAGTCCAGTAATGTACGGTGCTCACATAAGTCCATTAATGTACGGGGTTGACATAAGTCCAGTAATGTACGGTGCTCACATAAGTCCAGTAACGGACGTGGCTCACATAAGTCCAGTAATGTACGGGGCTCACATAAGTCCTGTAATGGACGTGGCTCACATAAGTCCAGTAATGTACATATCTTTCACAAGTCCAACATTGTTGGTGGCGTTCATAAGTCCAACAATATACTTGGCGAACGTAAGTCCAAGAATGTACTTCTGTTGCTCTACTTTCATTTAAATTGCTTGACAACATTTTGTCCCAATAAGTTCTATGTCTGTATATTTGAAAATATTAACATTGTAAACTGGTATTTGTCTAATTATAAATCTAATTTTCTGCCCCAAGGTATTAAGAAAGCCAGATGTGCATAAAACTGTAAAGTAACTTTGAGCAGCCTCGGCTCCGTATGATTGTCTAACAGCGAATTCCTTTGTATTCTGAACAGGTTTCGTGGGGTGTATGTCGACGTTCAGTGTGGATGGTGAGGTTCAACCGCTCAACGCAACCGGTTCGCTGTTGGACGCTGTCGCGCGCGGGGTGTCGCTGGTGTCCGAGTGCACAGCTGCTGACCTGGGCACCGCCACCGCCACTGACCCTCTCTCAATTGGCATCACGCTCGTCATTGTGTTCTTCGTGCTGCTGCTGGTGGCCATTCTCGTCTCGTTCATCGTGTACCGGGTCAGGCGCCAGCGACGGGAGAAAGGTGGAGTGCACGTCAAGCAGAATGGCTCTGCTCTTCTCGCTAACACTTCGTCCGATTCTGGGAGGTCGCCGCAGGATTCAGGCTACGTGGAAATGCACGCATCTTCACAGTCAACAAAGAAAAAGAAACATGACAGCAGTCTGGGCCTGACACCTGAAGAGATTGAGCGCCTCAACACGAGGCCAAGAAACTCATCTCTGGTATCAACGCTGGATGCTGTGTCTTCTTCCAGCGAAGACAATCAGCGTAAAGACAAACTGGCAGAGCTATCTTGAGGTTATCTTGAGATGATTTCGGGGCTTTAGTGTCCCCGCGGCCCGGTCCTCGACCAGGCCTCCACCCCCAGGAAGCAGCCCGTGACAGCTGACTAACACCCAGGTACCTATTTTACTGCTAGGTAACAGGGGCATAGGGTGAAAGAAGCACTGCCCATTGTTTCTCGCCGGCGCCTGGGATCGAACCCAGGACCACAGGATCACAAGTCCAGTGTGCTGTCCGCTCGGCCGACCGGCGTGTTCAAGGACATAGCCGAACTACCGGACAACACCCCCAAGCCCAACGAGGAGTACGTATAACGGTAGCTAGGGCGTAGCGAGGACAATACTTAGCAGCCGCCAAAGCCTATAATTTATAAGCATAGAAGAAGCAGCCCAACGCCCGTTGCCGAGGGCGACTGTGTTCGGACAGTTGCCGAGGGCGACTGTGTTCGGACAGTTGCCGAGGGCGACTGTGTTCGGACAGTTGCCGAGGGCGACTGTGTTCGGACAGTTGGCGAGGGCGACTGTGTTCGGACAGTTGCCGAGGGCGACTGTGTTCGGACAGTTGCCGAGGGCGACTGTGTTCGGACAGTTGCCGAGGGCGACTGTGTTCGGACAGTTGCCGAGGGCGACTGTGTTCGGACAGTTGCCGAGGGCGACTGTGTTCGGACAGTTGCCGAGGGCGACTGTGTTCGGACAGTTGCCGAGGGCGACTGTGTTCGGACAGTTGCCGAGGGCGACTGTGTTCGGACAGTTGCCGAGGGTGACTGTGTTCGGACAGTTGCCGAGGGCGACTGTGTTCGGACAGTTGGCGAGGGCGACTGTGTTCGGACAGTTGGCGAGGGCGACTGTGTTCGGACAGTTGCCGAGGGCGACTGTGTTCGGACAGTTGCCGAGGGCGACTGTGTTCGGACAGTTGCCGAGGGCGACTGTGTTCGGACAGTTGGCGAGGGCGACTGTGTTCGGACAGTTGGCGAGGGCGACTGTGTTCGGACAGTTGGCGAGGGCGACTGTGTTCGGACAGTTGCCGAGGACGTTGTGTAATATAATGAATACATTTCTACCCCCCCAGGGCCCCCTTTCCCCCCGCCATTTGTGAGAGAAACACTGACGGCAGTTGGCAGGCCTGACGGTGAAGTGATTGCATCTCTATTACAAAGCTTGAAAAACAATTGCAGCTTGAAAACAATTTTGTGCAACTAGAATAGCCAATGGTAGCATCATAACATACTCATTTTCATATCTTTTCAAGTTCAAGTATGTTTATTGAGATAAGCAATAAATACATCTCAAAGGGATAGAGTAGCTTAGGCTATTTCTACCCCCGTCTACATATCTTTTAATAAGCATCATGTCTCAGTGGCCAAGTGGTAAATTAAGTGCCGAAGTTTATGAACTTTTTGACCTGGTACTCGAGTTCAAGTTGCCAAAACTGAACAAATGTTCGCATATAATAGATGATTTACTGGTTCAGAGTTGCCAAATGTTGAAGTGCCAAGTGCTCTTTGATTCATAGAAAATATTGTGAATTCTCAGAGGCCAAACTTATGTAATTAAAATGTTCATGTTTAAGTTTTTTTCCTCTTATATAATTGCTACGCATTTAAAAAGAACTCGTATGTGTGTGCAATTGGATCATATGAACCACAACAATGGCCAAATCCTCATCCCTCGGCGTTTACTGAACCAAAGTGCATTTCCACTACTATAATCAAAGACAGGTTGTTTTTTTTTGAGGTATATACAAGAGTTGTTACATTCTTGTAGAGCCACTAGTACGCGTAGCGTTTCGGGCAAGTCCTTAATCCTATGGTCCCTGGAATACGATCCCCTGCCGCGAAGAATCGTTTTTTCATCCAAGTACACATTTTACTGTTGCGTTAAACAGAGGCTACAGTTAAGGAATTGCGCCCAGTAAATCCTCCCCGGCCAGGATACGAACCCATGACATAGCGCTCGCGGAACGCCAGGCGAGTGTCTTACCACTACACCACCGGAGACTGTATGGGTTACCGCGAAGCAGCGCCCCAGAGCTGAAGTAAATAAGGGGATGAGCAACCTTGAGTTAGAAGTTACGGTCTTGTCCTAGGTCTTCCCCCCCCCCCTCACACACTCATATATCTATTTCTAAATCATAGTGTGTAAGTCATGCTGATGCTGTCTGCTCAAGGTAATCTGGGGCCAGATTCAAGAAAGCACTTACGCAAGCACTTACAAACGTGTACATCTTTCCTCAATATTTGACGGCTTTGGTTACATTTATTAAACAGTTTACAAGCATGAAAACTTGCCAATCAACTGTTGTTATTGTTATAAACAGCCTTCTGGTGCTTCGGAGCTCATTAACTGTTTAATAATTGTAAACAAAGCCGACAAAGATTGAGAAAAGATGTACAGGTTCGTAAGTGCTTGCGTAAGTGCTTTCGTGAATCTGGCCCCTGAACCTCAGTTGCCATGGTGACCTCTCAAGCTGACCCCCTGGGGTTTTGCAGTTAATAAACAAATTTAAATTATCTTCTGATTGAGGGATTTTCATATTTTTACCTTTATTTAAAAAAAAATTGATTCAATTTTCCTTGACGTATTGCTGTTATTATCAGGCTAACTCAAAATATAATTAGTGATGGAATCACTTGTGTACAAAAATCAGTTTCACGTCTAAATTTGTAAAGATTCGTTTCTTATTTCTTGGTAAGAAAAAATTAACTCCTTAAATTGGTATTTTATGAATGCTGAGCAAAGAAAACTAGACCATACCAATGCAGGCGATGAGTCACAATAACGTGGCTAAAGTATGTTGACCAGACCACACACTAGAAATTGAAGGGACGACGACGTTTCGGTCCGTCCTGGACCATTCTCAAGTCGATGAGAATGGTCCAGGACGGACCGAAACGTCGTCGTCCCTTCAATTTCTAGTGTGTGGTCTGGTCAATAGACCATACCAACTCTCTGCAAAGGACCCAGTTTTGTACTATAATGGGGTTGTGGTACGGCTCCTGTACACTATCATCTTCCTGTATATAAATGTCTGACTGACCGCCTTGTACAGTGCATTCTTACGTAAGTCAAGCCACGTGGTGTGTGCCAAATTCGTTGTTATTGTTTTTATTGGTATGAATGATGTGCGAGATGTGCTCTGGCAACTTGTGATGTGCACAGTACTGTGCTCGGGCAGCTTGTGATGTGCACAGTACTGTGCTCGGGCAGCTTGTGATGTGCAGTGTTGTGCCCTGACAACTTGTGATGTGCACAGTACTGTCCTCGGGCAGCTTGTGATGTGCACAGTACTGTGCTCGGGTAGCTTGTGATGTGCACAGTACTGTGCTCGGGCAGCTTGTGATGTGCACAGTACTGTGCTCGGGCAGCTTGTGATGTGCACAGTACTGTGCTCTGGCAACTTGTTACGTGCACAGTACTGTGCTCTGGCAACTTGTTACGTGCACAGTACTGTGCTCGGGCAGCTTGTGATGTGCACAGTACTGTGTTCTGGTAAATTGTGATTTATGTATAAAGTCATATTGTAATAAACATCTGTAATGTACATGTGTTATTCCTTGACCTCTTCTAGAGGGTCTGAGGTCCAAGAGCTTCCTGGTGGGTGCTGGGAACCTTAAGGGTGGGGGCACCTGCTTGATTGAGTACTGCTCAGTACTCACTTCCCCCTTCAGAGCAGGAGAGATTGCTGAAATAGAGGGAATACAGAGAACATATACGGCACGCATAGACGCGATAAAGCACCAAAATTATTGGGATCGTTTCAAAGCTCTCCAAATGTACTCTAGAAAGGAGACGAGAGAGATACCAAATAATATACACCTGGAAAATACTGGAGGGACAGGTCCCAAATCTACACAGTAAAATAACAACGTACTGGAGTGAACGATATGGAAGAAAATGCAGAATTGAACTAGTGAAGAGCAGAGGTGCCATAGGCACAGTCAGAGAACACTGTATAAACATCAGAGGTCCACGGTTGTTCAACGTCCTCCCAGCGACTATAAGAAATATTGCTGGAACAACCGTGGACATCTTTATGAGAAAACTAGATTTATTCCTCCAAGGAGTGCCGGACCAACCGGGCTGTGGTGGGTATGTGGGCCTGCGGGCCGCTCCAAGCAACAGCCTAGTGGACCAAACTCTCACAAGTCAAGCCTGGCCTCGGGCCGGGCTTGGAGAGTAGAACTCCCAGAACCCTATCAACCAGGGGTTCTGGGAGATCTTCTACTCCCCAAGCCCGGCCCGAGGCCAGGCTTGACTTGTGAGAGTTTGGTCCATCAGGCTGTTGCTTGGAGCGGCCCGCAGGCCCACATACCCACCACAGCCCGGTTGGTTCGGCACTCCTTGGAGGAAACTATCTAGTTTCCTCTTGAAGATGTCCACAGTTGTTCCGGGATTATTTCTGATGCTCCCTGGGAGGATGTTGAACAACCGCGGACCTCTGATGTTCATACACCCGCCAATCCCCCAGGTGTTTATAAATGAAAAACGGTTTACACACGACTCATAACTGATGACGTTCGAACACTTCCGGAACAAGTGCTTCACTGACGAAATTTGTTCGAACCACAACGCTGTAAATGCTTCACCCACGTACTACAAATACAAATAATCGCCAACAGAACCTAAACACCTAACCTAACCTATGCCTATATATACACAATATGCTAATATATTATAATATTAATTTATATTTGAGAAAATTCCCGTTTTGAATGAACAGCATGTTAAAATTTATGAATGCGTCTGTGGGGTCGACCGCTGGATGTAATGGACTTGAGTCGAGGATGGGTTGGATTTTCTCATATCTGCTTCAATTGGCTAGATACTTTTAACTGTTTGGCTTTTGACAGTCTCACACATATCAAGACAACCCTAAAAAATATCTTCACCCCATTTTTGGGTCTCGAAGAAACAAAATAAACGCGATAGCACTGATATGAAATTAATATATTAACTAGAAAACGATCCTTTCTTCCAGCGGTCCACTGTTGACTACATTTCAAGACATCCAAATATATGGCAATTCAAATTTTGTTTAAGAGATAAATTAAATCCACTGAAAATGTAAAGAACGCATTAATTTTTTTTGTCTTAAATAGTTGAATGTTACAAATGTCAGGAATAGAACAGAGCGAGAAGGGTTCCGGACAAGTTGTTTACTAGTGAGTGAGGACGGGGTGTGAGGTTCCGGACAAGTTGTTTACTAGTGAGTGAGGACGGGGTGTGAGGGACTGGCCTAGTCGCGCGTGTGGTATTTGCACTCTAAATTGGCGCAACTTCATGGAAAGTAAATGATTTTAAGTGTTATTTAAGTACATGATAGTGTTTGTGCGTCCTCTTTGCGAGTTTAAAGCCAGCAAACGTTCACAAACGCTTTTAGTTTGTGGTAGCGAGACTACGAGAGAGCCGAGCCTCGGCACAAGGAGCTAGTTACCCCTAGTTAAGGCAGTATTAATTAGCAGATTCATAGCAACATGGTGATGCCACCGACGTTCGACTTAATGGTAAGTTCAAATTAAAGTCTAAAGTCATGTACTTAGGATGACCAAGACCTGCTACAGAACATTGTGTCCTCCAGCAGGACGCTGATTTGAACCTCTTGTTAGGGAGTACTCCTGGTTCAACCTTGACGACCAGTGGACGTCTGGACACCTCCTTCGCCTGGGAGCCGACGGTTCACGCTCTGTTTTCGCGTTATGGATTTGATACTTCCGTTTGGCATTGTTCTTGACGTGTTCTGGTTGTACGACGCCAGGCGCACATATCACCTTGGGGCACGGGATTGTTGATAGATGTTTTTGACGTGTTCTGGCTGGTTCTCCCGGCGGTGTGACGGTGTCCATCGGCGGCTTGGCCGAGAGGTGCCGGGAGTTGGTAAGCTCGTGGTGTGCCCTCAGCCGTAGTGGGCAGCTGGCCGTTTGTTCTACTGGAGAACACTGGATGATTTTAACGTTTTAGCTGAGGGGGCCAAGTTTTGGTTTTGTTGACCTGTGTGGGGGCGGGGGGAGTCACCCTGAGGGACTCTTGGGACTCCCTAATCA